GAAACCAGCAGGGCTCTTATCTGACCCCCATTTATCAAGGCTCTTCTAACCAATTCTTAGTAAAAGCAACTTACAAAGAATTGAGTACTGCTGGGCGTGGGGTGCACGCCTTCAATCCCAGCACTTGGGAGGCAGAGGCAGGTGGATCTTTGTGAGTTTGAGGCCAGCCTGGTCTACATAGTGAGTTCCAGGACAGCTGGGGCTACAGGGAAACCCTGTCTCAAAAAGACAAAAAGACAAAAAAAAAAAAAAAAAAAATCATACAAATGAATTTTAAAACAATCACTAATAACATACACATACATGTTACCCTAAGAAATTTTAAGAGCACACTTAGAAGTTAGTACTTAAAAGGTAGATCTTGGGCTGGTGAGATGGTGCAGTGGTAAAGTGCTTGCTGCACAAGCATGAGGACCTGAATCTATGTGAAAGGCAGACACAGCAGCATGCAGATATCTGTAATCCCAATGCTCATCTGTCAAGATGGGAGGCAACAGGAGACTCTCCCAAAGTTCACAGGTCAGCCAGTCTGGAGTGTGTAAGAGACCAAGAGATCCTGCCTCAAACAAGGCAGAAAACAAGGACTGACACCCAAAGTTGTGTGCATCTGCACTTGTATACACAAACGTGCATGCACACACGCACGCAAAGGTAGGTAGATAAATAATGAATACAAATAAATAAATAAATAAATAAATAAATAAATAGGCAACACTATCCTTGGAGCTGTACAGGGAGCTATGCAACCAGACTTATTAAGCTAGCTTTCATTCTTTAGAAATTAGTTTAAACTTTCTTTTTCAAAGTTTATTAGCTTTGAAAGCTCAAGTTAAAATGAAGTGGCATGAAACTTTTAAAACAGTACCGATGTTAAATGTTTCAAACTTGTAAGTGTTCAACTTTTGAATATCTCTACTATAAATATTGAGTATGCACCACAATAAAAAATAGTAATAATAATAAGCCTTAAAAAAAAGATGATGAGGCATATGACACATGAAGACATGAAGCTGTATATAGAACTACATGTAACAGAGCATACATGGAAAAAACCCTCACTATGCAAATGAGCCAAAAAGCTTGAGCTAAGGTAACATAAAAGCCCAACTCTGTATAGCAGGGCCTTTGAAATGCTGAACTTACTCTCTTTGGTCTCATCCACTTCTCTGCTTGGCAGTATGCTATCTCTTAATAAACTGGCCCTGCTTCATGTGTAAAGGAAAAAAAAAAAAAAATAGGAAGTTCAAGTTAAGCCAGGCATGGTGGTGCATACCTTTAATCCCAGCACTTAGAAGGCAAAGACAAGCAGATCTCTGTGAGCTTGAGGCCAGTCTGGTCTACATAGTGAGTTCCAGCCCAGCTGGTGCTACAGGGAGACCCTGTCTCAAAAAAGACAAAAAAGAAAAAAAGTTCAAGTTAAAAATCATAAATGAGGGGCTGGAGAGAGATAGCTTAGCCTTTAAGAGCACTGGCTGCTCTTGCAGAGGACTAAGGTTCAGTTCCCAGCACCCACATGGTGGCTAACAACTGTCTGTAACTACAGTTCCAGGGGATGTGACATCCTCTTCTAGTCTTTGCAGGAACTGCATGCATGGGTGCACTTACATACATGTAGGCAAAACACTCATACATATAAAATAAAAATACAAGGCTGGAGAGACAGCTCAGAGTTAACAGCACTGGCTTATCTTGCAAAGGACCTGGGTTTGGTTCCCAGCACCCATACGGCAGCTAACAACAGTCTATAACCCTAGTTCCAGGGGCTCCAATGCCCTCTTCTGGCTTCCATGGGCATTGGATTCACATGGTACACTTACATACATACAGGCAAGACACTCATGCACATAAAATAAAAATTTTTTTTAAATAAAAAATTTTAATTTAAAAAAGCATAATAAATCAATGATCAGTTTTCAAAATTGTCAAGCATAATTATTCAAGATAAGATATTATGCTTAATTTGAACACTGTACAAGTGTTTGATTCCAACTATCCAATTTTACTGTATAAAAAGTCCAAGTAATTTGGTACACACCTGCATTGTAAAATAATCTGTAGAAAGTTGATTGCTTTACCTAAACGCACTTAAAAAGAATCTTAACACCTGCTTAATATTTGCAAGGAGGATTACAGAGGCAACTAGAAACATAGTTTTAGAGAGACTACCTCTGCAACAGCTCCACTAAGGACAGTTCCCACATTTATGCCTGGTGAAAGACAAAAGACATGAACAAGTGAATGGTTTAAAAGCCCCCACAGCATACCCTCCAAACCACTGTCCACTGACTTCCTTTATCTGAAAGGAAAAGAAAGGACTTCCTTTATCCTAAAACCACATGCCAACTGCTTCTTATGACCCTAAACTCCTTCAATGTTGGAAACAAGCACAATCTACTCAACAACTATGTTTATCATGGGGTTCATTATACCCCCCCATGTGCTTTATTACTACTATTTTTAAATATTTTATTATTTTTATTTTATGTGTATGCATGTATTGCCTGCATGTAGTTAAGGGCACCCATGTCGTGCAATGCCTGCGGAGGACAGAAGAGGCCATCGGATCCCCTGGAACTGGAGTTACGGACAGTTGTTAGCTGCCATGTGGGTTCTGGGATTGGAACCTGGGTCTTCTGCAAGCACAACCAGTGTTCTTAACCGCTGAGCCATCTCTCCAGCCCCTATTAATACTAACATTAATACCTCACTGGTCCAGGTGCCATAACTCATGCCTATAATCCTGGCATTCAAGAGGTTGCGGTAGGAAGACTGCCTTCCAATTTGGGGCAAATCTGAGCTAGTGTGTTGCAGGTCCACCGCAGCTAAATAAGATCCTGTCTCAACAAAACTAAAAAAGGGGCCAGCAAGATGGCTCAGCAGGCAAAGGAACTTGCCTCAAAAGCCTGATGACCTGAATTTGATTGCCAGAACTCACAGTGGAAGGAGAAAGCTGACTCCCGAAAGCTGTCCTCTGATACTACACATGGACACATACACACACAAAATAGTAATATATTTTAAATTCCTTATGTTTTTAATTTAAGGGAGCTGGTGCCCTCTGAGAATGTGGTTCAGTGGTAGAGAACATGCCTAGCATGCACGAAGCCTTACATTCAATGTAGCAAGCACGCGCACGCGCACGCACACACACACACACACACACACACACACAGACACACACACACACACACACACACACACCTCTTGGAGCTGGGTATGTAGCTTGATTGGCAGAGTGCTAGCCTAGCATACACAAACTCAATTTCAAATCCCACTGTCTACAAAACAGGGTATGGTAGGAGCATCAGAAGTTCAAGGTCATCCTCAGCAAACAAAGGGAGTAAAAACTGTTACTGACGCCTACATAAAATGTAAAAAATTTTTAAAGTGTTCATTCTAAAGAATCATCAAGTATTCCTACGTTAACTTTTTAAAGTAGTTATTCTAACTATATGGTCCTTGCAGCTCAACAGTCTTAGTTCTAAAACTGACACCAAAAGGATCATATCTGAGTAACCTACTCAATAGCTCTTAATTTGGGGGTGGGGGGGAACTAACCATTCCCGTATCCAAGCTAATCTTGCTTAGACGTATGGAAGACACAGAAGTTAAACCTGCTGGGTGACCCAAATTAATCCATTTCTCACCATCATTAATGTGTGTGAGCAATGCAAGCAAATGAGAGCCTCCATGGACTCTAAACAGAGATGAAGTCAGTGCTGTGGGCCATAACAACTACTGCTGCTGGTGGCCATCTCTCTAAACACATAAAGCTCACCTAAGAAGGCAGTACCATCTGGCAAGATGAGTTAGTTGTTGAAAAGGCTAAGAAGCAGAGCTGAAAAGACAGCTACTGGCTGCTCTTGAAGAGGACCTGGGTTTGGTTCCCAGCACCCATGTGGTAGTTAACAACTGCCTGTAACTCCAATTCCAGGGGAGTGCCCTCCTCTGGCCTCTGTGGGCATGGCACACACAGGTGCACTAACATACACGCAGACAGAACACTCACGCATATAAAATAAAAATCGAAAAGAAAAATTTTAAAGCTAAGGAAACAGTATCCCTAGACATCTTGGTTCCCAGAACATCTTAACTTAAACTACCTGAACCAGGATTTCTGTACTTTGCACCCTAAAACAAACTGTGCCTGTGCCATGAAACAAGAACAAATTACTAACAGAAAATTAGATCATGAAGTATCACAAAAATGTTGTCACCATTAAGGACCACAAACAGAACCCTCATCCTCCGCTGAAATAATCAATGTATTCCACTATGTGTTAATGGGTATTAAGCACACTTTGAAACAACCCACTGTGAACCGTCTCTTATGTCACTCGATTTTTGTTTCAAATGACTGTAGCTCCTAACTTTTACAATTGTCCAACTATCCATCTGTCTTTTCATTATTCTGAAGTGAATATATTTACAAGTGAACATTGCAATGAGTGACAGACATCAAGTCCAGTGTGTCCCAATTCTCTCACTTCCCTCAAGCAATTATTAGGAAATCTAGATGTGGCCCAAGAAAGTCATCCAAGACAGAGTAAAACGGGCAGAAAAAGTCTTCAGTTAAAAGACCTAAAAAGCAAAAACCAGTTGAACAGATGTGACCAGCGAGACCAGTATGTGGCAAACTTCCTCCCAGGTATGGAGTGACCAAGGACAGGAGTGGGAAGAACGGAAAGGGAGGGGAGGGTTACAGCTGGCTCACCAGGAAAGAATGCAGACCACACCTACGCCTCTAGCCTTGAGTCAGAGGACCAGTCAGGCCGCAAGAGGGAAAGGGTGGTGAGCTGGGAGGGAGGGAGGCAGGAGGGTAGGGAGACTGGGAGGGAAGAAAGGAGGGAAGACGGCTGGGAGGCAGGGAGGCTGGGGAGGCTGGGAGGCAGGGAGGCTGGGAGGGAGAGAGGCCGGAGGGAAGTGGAGCTGGAGGAAAGCAAGCTAGGGGGAAGGGAGGCAGGAAGGGGGGCTGCAGGTAGCTCGGCGCCCGCGCCCACCTCAGCAGCGTCTCCAGCGCGCCCTCGTGCTTGTCCAGCGGGCGGCCGAGCGCTGTGCGGCGCAGCTTGCTGAGCTCCTCGGCCGCGCGGCAGTACTGGGCCTGCTCCTCGCCGCCGCTCGGGTAGGTCTGCTGGATGAACTTCACCAGAGGCTTGGCCAGGTCCACCTCCGAGGTCTTCTTCAGCTGCACCGAAATGAACGTCGCCATGGTGAGCGCCCGGCCGCTTCGTGGGCCGTGAGACGGAAGGACAGCGACGAGGGCCTAGGCGCGCCGGGCACCCGCAGCGGACCAGCGGACCGACGGGCCGACGGACGCGGCGGCCAGCGCTTCGGGCCGGCCACTTCCGGGAGCCCCCACGCAGGCGCAGTCGGAGGGAAAGCGCCGCTCGGCCACGTGACTGTGTCGTGTTGTCGCTCACCTGGTCCCTGCTGCGCAGCGGCTGCGCAGTGAAATCCAGGCTTTCCCTTACAGCCGCGATAGACCTTCAGAAACATTTTTTTACATTTAATTTTTCTTTAAATTTTGTTTTTCTTCTTTAAAATATTTTTATTTACGCCTTAAATCCCAGCACTAGGGAGGCAGAGGCAGGCGGATCTCTGAGCTCGAGGCCAGCCTGGTCTACATAGCGAGGTCCAGGTCAGCCAGGGCTATATAGTGAGACCCTGTCCCCAAAAAAAAAAAAAATTCTAAAGTTTATTTTTATTTTTAATAAATTGCTTAAATTTAATTTTGTAGACCTGCAGTAACTGTTCCGCCCCCAGGTGAAGTCTTCCTTGTTCCGCTTTGAGGTACAGCGGGCTTCCAGCCCCACGGGAATTGTGATGTATGCTAGCTCCTCCAGCTGTGCCGGACGGTCCACTGTGACCCGGGTCTCTGTGCACCGTTGGGTCCCTGCCTTTGTGCAGTATGTAGCCAGGTAGGGACACAGACTTCAAGGTAAGTGAAAGCAGGTGTCTTGGAAGAACTTGACTTAAGATCGTTTAAAAAAGCATTGTCCCAGAAGGTGAACTTAGAATCACACTGGCAGTCTGAGAAGATGCTTGACATTGAAAGAGGGAAAGAGCAGAGAGGGCTTGAGAGTTAAGGGAGTCTTTTAGACCAAAAAGCTTTTCCTGTGTCCTGGGAGTGGAGCCGAGCTCTGTGGCAGAACTGAAAAGGCAAGTCGAGGACAGAATGAAAGAAGAAGCAAGCATCAAAGCATTCAAACACTTGTGGGTCAACTTACAGAATTTGTTTTATATAATCAGTGGCACTTTATTTTTACATTTTTTAATTTTTAATTTATTTTTACATTTTAAAAAGACCTCCTAAGCTGTGTTTGGTGGCACACACCTTTAATCCCAGCACTCGGGAGGCAAGGCAGACTAATCTCTATGACATTGAGGCCAGCCTGTTCTACATAGTTCCTGGGACTACCGGGAAACTGTCTCAAAAAACAAAAGGGGGAAAAAAAAAAAAAGACCTACCTGAGAACAAGTCTGATTTTTTGTTAATATTTTAGTTTTATGTGTATGAGTGTATTGCCTGCATGTGTGTAAGTGCACCTGTGTTGTGCAGTTCCCGTGGACGTCAGTAGAGAGCGTCAGATCCCCTGGAACTGGAGTTACAGTTGTTAGCCAAAGCATGGATGCTGGGAATTGAACCTGTGTTTGCTGCAAGAACAGTCAGTGCTCCTAACTGCTGAGCCATCTCTCCAGCCCCTGATTTTTTTTAATTGTATGTATGAATGTTTTGCCTACATATATTTAAGTGCACAATTGTCTGCCGTGCCTGTGGAGGCCAGAAGAGGACCCAGGTCCTGTGCAAAAACTGCCAGTGCTCTTAACCACTGAGCCTTCTATTCAGCCCCATTATTTTTTTTTTTAATTTTATTTTTTGGGAGGTGGGGCATACCTGTGGAGGTCAGAGGACAACTTTCAGGAGTCAGTTCTCTGCACCTCGTGAGTCCTTAGGCTTGGCAGCATCTCGCCAACCTTTATTTCTTGATGGAGTGAATATAGATATACAGTATCATCTATAGTACATTCCAGGCAAAACTAATTTGAATCTATCAAGCCTTCACATCGAACACACAATTTATAAGAAAGACAGCAGATACATGAACAAATTAAAGGATGCCATAAGAAGTAACCAAAACCATCCAAAGTGTACTATTCTGAGGACAGCTGCTATGTATCTTCAACAATTTATCATCCTGGAGAAAAGCAACCACTTTATAAAAAGAAATGCAAAGACTATTACAGCCTAAACTGGATCCTAGTCTGAAAAGATCAGCTATGGGATAATTGAAATATGAAGACAGACTATTAGGCACAATGAAACTATATTGCCGTAGAAAGATAGGACTCATTAACTGAAAAGAGCAAGTCGCAGAATGCATATGTGTATTTGTGTACTATGAAGGGAGATTGTACCCTGAGGTGTGGGACTGATTGTGGTCTCTTTTTTAATCAGGTTCTCGCCAAGAAGCCCTGGTTGGTGTGGAGAACTCACTGTATAAACCATTTTGGCCTCAAACTAACAGAGATCCCCCTGCCTCTGCCTCCTGAGTGCTGGGATTAAAGATGTGCACTACCATGCCCAACAGTTGTAATCTTTGGCAGTGGAAATGTCCATTTTTGTCTTCTTATGATTATCTTCATGTAATTTTTTGCATCATACAGTATATAATTATATAATTTCATTATATTAAAGTTTATTTTTAACAATTTTAAAGTTCCCTTTTAAATTTTTACATCTATTTTTTTATTTGGAGGGGGGCATGTGTGTACCACACCGAGTGTATATGGAGGTCAAAGGACAACCTGTGGGAGTCAGTTCTCTCTACCTGTGGGTCCTCATGAATAATGATGAGGACAGGAAATTGAGAGTGAGTTGGGGGGGACATGGGAGGAGCTGGAGGAGAACTGAGAGGGATGGACATGATACAAAGACTATACCCATGTATGTTGCTCACAAAAAATAAAAAACAGGCTGGAGAAATGGCTCAGTGGTTAAGAACACTGGCTGTTCTTGCAGAAGACCCAGGTTCAAATCCTAGCACCCACATGGCAGCTAACAATCGTCTATAACTTCAGTTCAAGAGGATCCAACATCCTCTTCTGTCCTCCATGGGCACTGCATAACATGGGTACACTTACACATATTCTGGCATAATACTCATAGACATAAAAATAAAAAGAATTTTAAGTAAAACATGCAGGCCTAGCACTCACATACATAAAATAAAAATAAATAAATCAGGGGGGCTGGAGAGATGGCTCACCGGTTAAGAATACTGGCTGTTCTTGCAGAAGACCCAGGTTAGAATCCAAGCACCCACATAGCAGCTAACAACTGTCTGTAACTCCAGTCCCAGGGCATCCAACAGCCTCTTCTGACCTCTGAGAATATTGCATAACACAGGTGCACTTACATACATGCAGGCAATATATGCATTCACATAAAAAATTTTTAATAATTTTTTTAATTTAAAAGCCGGGGGAGGCTATGGGAAGGTGCCATTTGGGAAGTGGGTATATAGATGAATAAGATTGTGTGGAATGTTCTGTATGAGATACACAATTTAAAAAATCAACAAATTTAAAAAAAGATATTTGAGGAGGAAGCATAAAAATTTACATCATGTTAATTAGTAGAGGAGATAATGTTACCATTGAAATCTACCTGATGACTTTCTATCCATACTCAGGTGCCAAGGATCTGAGTGTAACCAACTGTGACTAGATACATAGAGATACATAGATACATAGAGATTAAAGACACGTGCAAACATCTAAGTGTTAGTAGCATTAAAAGTGTAGGAGACTACTATCCTCAGGCCTCTTGGGGTAAGTCTACAGCGCAGCTCTCCGCGCCGGGACTCCCTAAGCCTCATTCACCCTTCCACCCCACCCCCCACCCCCCTGCCCCCCCGCCTGGCATTCTATACTCTAGCTTGGACCCTGTGCCATTCCTAGTCTTGGGGCCCCAGACACCTGGGGAACCAATACTG